TAATCCCAGCACTTTGGGAGGCCGAGGTGGGTGGATCACGAGGTCGGGAGATTGAGACCATCCTGGCTAACATGCTGAAATCCCGTCCCTACTAAAAACACAAAAAATTAGCTGGGCATGGTGGCAGGTGCCTATAGTCCCAGCTACTCAGGAGGCTGAGGCAGAAGAATCACTTGAACCTAGGTTGCGGTGAGCCGAGATCGTGCCACTGCACTCCAGCCTGGGCAAAAGAGTGAGACTGTCTCAAAAAAAAAAAAAAAAAAAGTCTTAATGACCAGGCGCAGTGGCTCACGCCTGTAATCCTAGCACTTTGGAAAGCCAAGGCGGGTGGATCATGAGGTCAGGAGTTCAAGAACAGACTGGCTAGCCAAGATGGTGAAATCCAGTCTCTACTAAAAATACAAAAATTAACCAGGCGTGTTGGCAGGCACCTGTAATCCCTGCTACTCAGGAGGCTGATGCAGGAGAATGGCTCGAAAATGGGAGGTGGAGGTTGCAGTGCACCGAGAGCACACCACTGCACTCCAGCCTGGGTGACAGAGTGAGACATTGTCTCAAAAAAAAAAAAAAGAAAAGAAAAGAAAGAAAGCAGTAAGTGCTATAGCAAAATTTTAAAGCAGAGAGAAGAGAATGGGCAGTGTTTAGGAGGTCGGTATGGAGAGGGTGGTATGCAGTTGCTGCTAGTGTGACCAGGGAAGCCCTCCTGGAGAAGCAAGACTTGAAAGCAGTGAGGGGGTTGGCCAGATGCGACCTGGGGGAAGCCCATCCTCAGAGGCGTGAAGGCTGTCAGACAGGGCGGGCCTGTGTGGGTGAGAAGGGGCTGAAACAGAGAGCCCAGGGGAAGCACAGAGAGGTGACAGGAGTGGGCAGGTCTGGTAAGTTCTTAGAAGTCACTTCAGAGGATTTGACTTTTCTTCTGTATAAAATGGAGAAGGCCATTGTAGGATTTCAAGCAGTGCAGTTACACAGTCAAGCTCAACAGTTGCAGGAATCCCTCTAGCTGCTCTTTTGATCATATGCTGTAAAGGGGCGGGGGTTGGGGCTAGGGGATGAGGTCAGAAGCAGACGACCGGTTAGGAGTCTCCTGCAGTCAAGCAGGCAAGAGGTGATGGTCACTTGGATTTGGATGGTGTCACCCAACAAGTGAGAAGTGGTCAGAGTCTGTGATATTTTGAAGGTAGAACAAACAAGATTTCCTGGTGGACTGTACATGAAAGAAAGAGAGGAATCAAGATGCCACCAAAATTCTTGGTTTGAGTAACTAGAAGAATGGCTTTGCTACTAAGAGAGGTGCGGGAGATCTGGGCTGGTAGAGCTGATCTGGGGTTCCAGGAGTCGTTCTTCATTCTCTGCCTCCCAACAACCAGCAAGACAGAGATTCCACCTCCAAAGTCTCCTGAATCTTATTGGCTCTCTCCATCACTCCTCCCAACTCTGGGGGACTAATAACCACCATCATGCCTCACACGGACTCTTGAGATGGTCTCCTGCTTCCTACCCTGGTCTTTTCTCATCCGTTCTCAATGCCTCGTGTTCCGTCGTGCATTAGACAGTTTGAAGCAGATTGATCTTTACAGGAGGAGCTGTCACTTTCTTGCTTAACACCTTTTCACTGTTTCCTGCTGCATCAGACTCCTCTCCCTGGGACTCAAGCTCTCTGTATCATCTGATTCACCTTCCTCTCTATGCTCATTCTTTGCTACTCCCCTCCTTGCTGCAGATACAGTGGATCTTTCTATTTCTCAAACACACCATGCTCTTTGGCATCTTAGGGCTCCTGCTTATCTTGCGCTCTCACCCTGGAACGCTCTTCCTCCCACTCTGCATGGGCATGGCTGGATCTTTCTGTCCTCTGGGTCTCTGCTTAAATGATACCTGCTCAGGGAGGCCCTTCTCACCCAATGTATTAGAGGGACCCTCACTCTCGTTCTCTACCCCAACACCTTTTACAGCACTTTTGCACTAGTAATTACATATGTGCATGTTTTAATTGTTGTTCTGTTGGCTGCTCTCCCACCAAACTGTAAGCTCATTGAGGCCAAGAATCGTGCCTGCTTTGTTTACTATTATATCCATAGCATTTAGCACAATGGGCAGCTATGGATACCCCTAAAAATGTGTTGCATGAATGAATGAATATTAACTGTAATGCACTTTATAGCTTAAACACAATAAAGATGGTTACTCTCAGTTACTCTCAGGATAACATTCACACCCCTCAACAGAGCCACGCCCTCCCTGGATGATCCAGCCTTGGGGCCTCCTCTTCCTCTCTCACCCATCCATCCTCCCACTACACCCATCCACTTGGTATTTGGAGAAGAGACTGTGGTCGTCCTTGCTGTGGACATGGTACAGGCTGCTCTTTCTCCATCCAGAGTTCTCCTACACCTCACTTCACCTGACTTAGATATCTCTTCTGAAAGGTCTTCTCTGAACCCCACACCTATGAACCCACAGAACACACTGAATGTCTACCGATGTTTTCATTACCTGCCTAACCTCCACCCAACCAGGAGGTAAGCAACTTAAATACAGGTAGTGGGCCCTGAGTCTTGTTCACTGTAGTATCTCAAGCACAAGCACAGTACTCAGCACAAAATAGATGCTCAAAAAAAGTCATAAAAAGAACGAACGGGCAGATGAGTGAATTAACACTAATGATATATTTCTAGAGAGAGAGTCTAAGAGTAAATAAATGGGCTACATTAATATGTAGACTTAACACTTGAATTTAACATAATAGTTTGCATGTTGATAATTACGTATGAAAATCCTTTGAAACTGTTAGAATCCTGGCTGGGCGCAGTGACTCACGCCTTAATCCTAGCACTTTGGGAGGCTGAGGCAGATGGATCACTTGAAGTCAGGAGTTTGAGACCAGTCTGGCCAACATGTTAAAACCCCATCTCTACTAAATATACAAAAATTAGCTGGGCATGGTGACGCGTGCCCGTAATCCCAGTTACTCAGGAAGCTGAGGCAAGATAATTGTTTGAACCCAGGAGGCGCAGGTTGCAGTGAGCCAAGGTTGATCCACTGCACTGCAGCCTGGGCAGCAGGGCAATACTTCATCTACAAATAAATACAAACAATAAAATAAAATTGTTCTAATCCTTAAGTAAGTTGCACTCTTTCTTAACCTCAGATCCAATGTGACTAATATTTTCGAAATTTTCTTTTACCCTAGTCCCCAGTCAGAAATACATTTTGCATTCAACCCAGTACAAACAGACAAACACACACACACACACACACACCCCTCAAACATTTCACGAAATATTTACCATTACTACCAACGTAAAATAAAAGCAGTGGAATGCTAATATCATATATTTTATTAATTTTTATATAGATTATAAAAATCCAAAATAACACAAAACAGAAATGTAGACATGATTTTTATTTAGTGGACAGATAGGCTAAGGCATTTGTAAAATCATTCCGTGGAATACCTGAGGTGATACGTACATCTGATACATTGTTCAACCTAGTTTTTTTCTTTTTAAAATCCAGTCAAAGTTGAAACTATAAAAATTCACACAAATAGGCTGTAGTGATTGTTAACAATAGTAATACACCAGTTATGATAGTGGCACTGAAAGTTTTTCTTCAGTCGGAATCCACATAATATACATAATGTCTTTTAATCATTCTTCAGTATAAGAGTTAAATACAGGCCAGGCCCAGTGGGGCACACCTATAATCCTTGCATTTTGGGAGAACAAGAAGGGCCGATCACTTAAGTCCAGGAGATTGAGAGCACCTTGGGCAACATGGCAAAACCTCATCTCTATAAAAAATGCAAAAACTAGATAGGCATGGTGGTCCCAGCTGCTTGGGAAGCTAAGGTGGGAGGATCACTTGAGCCTAGGAAGTCAAAGCTGCAGGGAACTGAGATCACACCACTGCACTCCAACCTGGGTGACAAAAAAAAAAAAAAAAAGAGTTAAATACAATCAGTTTTTCTCTTCTTTGTTCACCAGGTTTTATTCGATTATTGGTTCAGAGTTTTGAAAAGAATATAGATCTTTTATTGAAATGCTTTTCTTTCAAGCTTCGTATTTTCTTCTGCAAAGTAATCATTGTGACTTTGAAAGAAAAATGAGATGTAGTGATACCTCTAATTTTATTTCATTCAAACTGATTTTATAATGTTCTCTTCTATGTGTTACAACAATGTTGGGAACATGCAGAAGCCATAATTATTACCTTTAGAAGGAAAATTTTAAGACTTCGGAATGAACATCCCTTCCATGGAATGCTGGGGCCTCTGGGATTATCTGATCCTATGGGAATATGTGCCTTTGATTTTGACTAGGCTATTTAAAAACTCTGCAGAAATAAAAGTTAACATATGGAAAGCTGATTGCAATGCAAATAATTCTTGCATACAGGCATACACTTAAATTCTGTTCAGTGGAGTTTCAGCTGAAGAATTGGAACAAGAGGATTAATTTCCCAGATGGCTTTTCCATTCACATGTCTGGTGCTTTGTCAAGGACAGCTAGAAGGCTGGGCTCAGCTGGTACTATTGACCAGAGAATCTATATGTGGGCTCTTACGTAGCTTGGGGTTTTCAGAACATGGCAGCTGTGTCCTAGGAAGAGCCTTTGGACCAAGCCTTTTGGTCGGAGAGACCAAAACAGAAGCTGCAAGGCTAATTTTCACCCAGCCTTGGAATTCACGCATCCTCACTCCCACTGCATTTTATTGGTTACAAGAGAGTCGCTAAAGCCAACCTAGATTCAAGTGGAGAGGAATTAGACCCCACCTCTCTTTGGAAGGAATGTCAGATAATTACAGCCACCTTTTAAAATTGCTGCCTTTTGATTCCTTAAATGTGTTTAACATATTAAAGTGTATCATACAGCTGAGTGCAGTGGTTCGCACCTGTAATTCCAGCAATTTGGGAGGCCAAGGTGGAATGATTGTTTGATGCCAGGAGTTCAAGACCAGTCTGGTATAGCGAGTTTCTGTCTTCATGAAAAATTTTTAAATTTTTTTTTCCAGGAACACGTGCACTTTATTGAATGCCATTGTAGCAAAGTGTGTGAGGATAAAGGGCTGATACAGAACTCGGTTCGGGGGGCAGGGCGAGGAATGGAAGATGGAGTACACGAGATACAGGTCATGGGCAGAGCTCCTGGCCTGGAGGCTGCCTCCTGCTCTATCGATAGATGTGGAGGATCAACACGGGGATAATGACAAGCAGAATGGTCATGATGATGCCCAAAATCAGGGCCCAGATATTCAGGCACTTGGCAGTGGAGGCGTAGGCCTGGGCCCTGTCAGGTTGCCAACCATCTTCCTGTCCCTAGACTTCACGGAGTAGGCAACCACTATGAAGCCCAGGCAGCAGGAGTTCTTGAAGAGGGTGTTGAACAGGGACCAGATGACAGGGTCGGGCACGGAGGTCTCGCTGCGGATGTGGATCACGGTGGATGTCGGGGGAGCAGGGTTGTGGGGCGCCCCCAGCACAGTCACCTCGTGCTCCTTCTTGATTGTCTCATAGTTAGGAGGATGGCCAGTGTTGGCAGGAGTGAAGAAGGTTTTGACAGTGTGGTTCAAGGTGGCCAGGGAAGACCAGCTGTGGTCAGGTTGCTGGGATGGTTCTCAGTGAGCTCTCCCTTTCCACCATAGTTTGGATTTCTCCAATTGGTTTTTAAGACAAAGTCTCATTCTGTCGCCCAGGCTAGAGTGATGGCATGATCTTGGCTCACTGCAACCTCTGCTTCCTGGGTTCAAGCAATTCTCATGCCTCAGCCTCCTGAGTAGCCTTGGATTACAGGTGTGCACCAGCACATCCAGCTAATTTTTATATCTTTAGTAGAGATGGGGTTTTGCCATGTTGGCCAGGCTAGTCTCAAACTCCTGGCCTCAAGAGATCCACCCGCCTTGGCCTTCCAATGCGCTGGGATTACAGGCATGACCTACTGCACCTGGTCTAAAATTTTTTTAATTAAAAAAATATATTAGCTGAGCGTGGTGGTGTGCACCTGTAGTTCCAGTTATGCTTGAGCCCAGGAGTTCGAGGCTGCAGTGAGCTTTGATCGCGCCACTGAACTCCAGCGCCAGTGCCAGAGCAAGACCCTGTCTTAAAAAAAGAAAAAGAATACACTGCCCCCAAATCAGCTAAATGTGCACTTTTACTAACCAAATACCACATTCAAAAATATTTGCCATAGGAGATAGCTTTTCGATTTAACAAAATCCAAATCTTATTTCAGAGTGTTTTTCCTCATGGTAACCAGGACTTTGACTATGTGTAGTAAGTGGATATGGTCAGCTTCAATATCTGAACAAAATATTTCTACAAGTTTTGCCCACTGGCATCTCATTTGATTTCAATAAATCCATGAAGTTCAGTAAAATTTCTTTAGCTGCCAAAGCCTCATGATGAATAAACCAGGGCTGTCAATTTTTTTTGTTTGTTTGTTTTTTAACAATATTTATTAATTCTGCCATATTTTCTGGTTTTATTTGTTGTCCACACTTACAATTCTTTTACATTTTTTTCAATTTAAATAATATTCAGTGTATGGCAATTCCTCAAAGAACTAAAAACAGAATTACTATTGGACCCAGCAATCCCATTACTGGCTATATACCCAAAGAAATATACATCATTCTACCATAAAGACACATGCACATGAATGTTCATTGCAGTGTTCCTCACAATAGCATACACATGGAATCAACTTAAATGCGCATCAATGACAGATTAGATTTAAAAAAATGTGATAAATATACACCATGGAATACTATGCAGCTATAACATAAAATGAGTTCATGTCTTTTGCCGGAACATAGCTGGGACTGGAGGCCATTACTCTTAGCAAATTAACACAGAAACAGAAAATCAAATACCACATATTCTCACTTATAATGGGGAGCTAAATGATAAGAGCTTATGAACACAAAGCAGGAAAAAACAGACACTGGGGTCTGCTTGAGCGGGGAGTGGGGGAGGGGGGAGAGGAGCAGAAAAGATCACTACTGGGTACTGGGCTTAATACCTGGGTGGTGAAATAATCTGTATAACAAACCCCTGTGACACGAGTTTACCTATGTCACAAATCTTCACACGTACCCACAAACCTAAAATAAAACCTAAAAATTAAAAAAATAATAATATTCAATCAGCAATATACTTTTCCAACTGAGAGATTATATCTAATCCAGTTGAGGGCAAAATAAAATTTAAGGTCGGGTGCAATGGCTCACACCTGTAATCCCAGCACTTTGGGAGGCTGAGGCAGGCAGATCACCTGAGGACAGGAGTTCGAGACCAGTCTGGCCAACACAGTGAAACCCCGTCTCTATTAAAAATACAAAAAAAAACTTAGTTGGGTGTCGTGGCCCACACCTGTAATCCCAGCTATTCGAGAGGCTGAGACAGGAGAATCACTTGAACCCAAGAGGCGGAGGTTGCAGTGAGCCGACATCGTGCCATTGCACTCCAGCCCAGGCAACAAGCGCAAAACTCTCAAATAAAATAAAATAAAATAAAATTTAAACAACACAACGAATTCTCCATTCAAACTGTCTTGTCAGTCATATCTGATCTGACTGAAAGTGTTGGTGACTTGCAATGTCAGTGCTTTCTTCATTAAGTTGAATCACAAAATCTGTACCAGGCTGTAATTACATTTGAAAACATCCCCTCTTATTGTTCTATAATAGTATAGATTTGATGAGATATTATGGGTTACTAAAAGGTACAATTTTTAATTTTTCAGCTGACTTATCATTTTATCATAAAAAATCTCATCCATCTTGGAAGAATAATTTTTGACAGCTGCGTGACCCATTTTTTTTGCCCCAATACACTACTAAGTAGGTGATTATAAGGCTCTTTCATTAACAGTAGTTGACAACTTATAAGTTACAGTATTAATAATCATACATATTTTTCCTTTTGAAACATTTTCTTGACTTATTGACAAGATATTATGTTGTCTTTCCAGGCATGATTTTTATTTTGAAGTTTTTAAGTTTTCAATTATAAAAATTTTATTGTAAATTACATGTTGAGTCTGTCATTTTTGTTAAGTCTTGCATATTTTATAAATCACATTTAAATAATCTTCACTATGAGGTCTTGCATATATTTTTTCCATTTTAGAATGCAACTCAAATAATATAAAATAAAAAATTGTATTCTCTTTTGGGTTTCGGTGGGGAGAGTTTGAGACAGGGTCTCATGTGTCACCCAGGCTGGAGTACAGTGGTGCCATCTGGGCTCACTGCAGCCTCAGCCCCCTGGGCTCAAGTGATCCTCCCAACTCAGCCTCCTGAGTAGCTGGGACTACAAGTGTGCACCACCATGCCTGGCTAATGTTTGTATATTTTGTAAAGATGGGTTTTTGCCATGTTGCCCAGTCTGGTCCTGGAATCAAGAAATCTGCCTGCCTCAGCCTCCCAAAGTGCTGAGATTATAGGAGTGAGCCACCACACTTTGTTAGACTCCACATTTTCCTCAATATTGTCAAATTTATACTTCCAGATGCGCAAAAAATTCTTCATAAAAATTGTCTTGTCAGTCATAGCTGATCCGACTAAAAGTGTTGGCAATTTGCAACATCAGTGTTGGGATTAAATCGAATCACAAAATCTATACCGTACTGTAACTGCAGTTAAAAAAAAAAAAAAAAAAAAAAAAAACATTGCCTCTTGGCCAGGTGTGGAGGCTCTCCTGTAATCTTAGCACTTTGAGAGGCCAAGACAGGTAGATCACCTGAGGTTGGGAGTTCGAGAGCAGCCTGACCAACATGGAGAAACTCCGTCTCTACTAAAAATACAAAATTAGCTTGGTGTGGTGTTAGGCGCCTGTAATACCAGCTACTCAGGAGGCTGAGGCAGGAGATTCATTTGAACCCAGGAGGCAGAGGTTGCAGTGAGTTGAAATTCTGCCATTGCACTCCAACCTGGGCAACAAGAGTCAGACTCCATCTGAAAAAAAAAAAAAATTGCCTCTAATTATTCTGTAATAGTACAAGTGTCAACAAGCTGAACTTGAATATACCTCTATATTTTTACATCACCTGCTTTTTTCTAATAATAAAGCAGCTCTGTATAAGAGAATGTATACTAGTTCAATTAAAGTGTTATAATAGCTACAAACTGAAAAAAAAAAGTAGAATACTTCTATTCCAAAAAATACCCTGACATTCATAAGTGACACTCAGTTGAGAGTATTGACAATTTGCTAATCAATTACTACGGCACTTCACAACGAATTGCACATTACATCAATATCAAATTAAACTGTGCAACATTCATATCCTGATAGAAAACTGATCAAACTATGCATCAAATACCAGAAAACTGAATAACATACCCAGGGCCAGCGATATAATTTCTGGAGCCAAATGCAAAACAAAAATATGCAGCCCAGGCTGGGTGCAATGGCTCACACCTGTAATCCCAGGACTTTGGGAGGCCAAGGCATGTGGGGCACTTCAGGTTAGGAGATCAAGACCAGCCTGGCCAACATGGTGAAACCCCATCTCTACTAAAAATACAAAAATTAGCCAGGTGTGGTAGCATACACCTGTAATCCCAGCTACTCAGGAGACTGAGGCACGAGAATCACTTGGTTCAGGAGACAGAGGTTGCAGGGAGCTGAGATTATGCCAGATTATGCCACTGCACTCCAGCCTGGGAGACAAAGCTAGACTCCGAGGAAAGAAAAGACAAAAAGAAAAGAAAAGAAAAGAGGGAAGGGAAGGGAAAAGAAGGGAAGGGAAGGGAAGAGAAAAGAGAGAGAGAGAGAGAAAGAAGGAAAGAAAGATAAAAGAAAGAAAGAAAAGAAAGAGAAGAAAGAAAGAAGAAAGAAAGAAAAAGAAAGAAAAAGGAAGAAAGGAAGAAGAAAGAAAGAAAAAGAGAAGAAAGGAAAGAAAGAAAGAAAGAAAGAAAGAAAGAAAGAAAGAAANGAAAGAAAGAAAGAAAGAAAGAAAGAAAGAAAGAAGAAAGAAAGAAAGAAAGAAAGAAAGAAAGAAAGAAAGAAAGAAAGAAAGAAAGAAGGAAAAGAAAAGGAAAGAATGGAGGGAGGGAGGGAGGGAAGGAAGGAAGGAAAGAGAGAAAGAGAAAGAAAATATGCGGCCCTGCTTGGAAATGAACAAGTCAATTCCTTCTTTCTAAGGGCCCACCGTTCCAACCCAAGGCAGACAGATGAGCCCAGGTGAGGGATGGCAGTAGTCACAGAGCAGAAGCGGAAATGGGGAGGCTAACCGGGCAACCCACCCACCGCAGGGTGGGTGGCCAGGAGCCTTTATCAGGAAGGAGGGGAGGCCATGGAAGGCAGGGTGGGGTATGAGTCAAGGCTCAAGCCTCAGCACATGCTTCTGTGCCCTGCCCACTTCACTTACCGAACACAAATTCAAAGTGCAAGTATTAACAATTTCAATATGGCAACCACAGGGTAGCAGATTCCAAGCACAGGGCCCTTCTGAATGGGGTTCCCCATACAACTGCACTGGTTACACCCTCGTGAAGCCAGCGCCGGGGATGCCAGTGAGCAAAAGAACAAATGAGCTACTCCTGACCGATGCATTCTGCCCCACACAGCCTGTCCTCACATGGCCAGTCGTGATAGCTGCAGGATGAAGAATATGTGAGGTGCTTTCACATTCTTCTTTTTTTTCCTTCTGGTCAAATCATGCTTAAGGGCTCACGTCTCTCTAAAAGCCTGTCCTTATAAGGTGGGAAGAGTCAGGAGAAGCTGCCTGGTACAACAGCAAGAATATGGCCAGGAGACAAAAAACCTTGGCTGTCATCTTCAGCATTCCATACGGTAAGCACATCCCTTCATCTCTGGGCCTCTGCTTCCTTATTAAATTCCTCATGTTGTAACATTGGCTTCCTTATTATTAATTATTAATATGGGTGAGGCTAGGTAACCTTTAACATTCCCTCCAGCTCTGTTTCTGTGAGAAGGAAACAACATAAATAGGTGTTTGACATAAGGCGTTTGGTGACCTGACTGTTTTATTTCCATTTTTATTGGACTCATTGCAATTGGCGTATTTTGATTAATCAAAGCCATATCCGAGCTGCTTGTTCTGATGTGATCTGGCATAGAAGCCAAAAGAAATGAGCTGTGAGTCATTTGGATGTGTGCAGGCAAAAAGGCCCCTCATATCCTTAAGGCCTAGCTGCAGATGGATCAATTCTATAATGCTAGATTTTAAAATAACAATAATTACTACCTGGGACACAGCCTTTTATCTAAGGTGCTCAAAGGGCTTTGTGGTCATTAACCCATAAATCCACCGGCCTCAAGCCATCAGGAGCTCAAGAGGAATCTCCTTAGAAGACAAGTAGACCAGAAACCAAAACATCACAAGGAGGAGGAATAACAACCGTGACTAAGCAGGAGGAAGGGGGTGGGAGGTGCCGGATCAACAGAACAGTGCTCCTGGAAGAAATAAATGGAAAATCCTCCTGTGATCCTGCTGATAGCAATTTAACCACTCACTAGACTCTTGGAGTGGATGCTCATGGATGTCATATTTCATCATCCAGAAAATCCCTTTACCCTTAATGTAAATTTTAGCCTTCACAGCTTCGGAAAGACTGCTGTTACACCCAGAGCAGGTGAAGGGGATCACTTTCATCCCTCGAATTTTCTTCTTTCATAGGAGAAAACGGCTTGTTGAAGTTAAAGAATCTCTAAAGATAGAACACCACTTCAGAATGATATTGTCAAGGGTTTGTTAGTCTCTGACTTATTTGCAGGTGCTTTCCATAAACACACATCTGTTGAAAAATGATACCGCTATAAAGGACCTTCTGAATGGCCTGGAATTTTATCTTTAGAATCATTCCATTAATCAAACCATCCATCACCTAGGAGGTTGTCCACATGGGAGCAGGTACTATGGGGACAGAAAATGTGCAACCTGACATCCAGGCAGCTACAAATCCAATCAGGAGATGAGATTAATTCAAATAACATAAATGGAGACACTTCTTATTTATTATTCATTTATTTCAATTCATTATTACTTAATATGTATTCATAAGTTAACTAATAGGCAGAAAATAGGGGTTCTGTAATTTTCAATAGAATAGACCCCAAGTCTTATAGAGTTCCTGGTGGAAGGTGATCAGCGAGAATGATTAGGGAAGGCAGGAAGAGTCATAGAGGAGATAAGATGAACAAAATCCTACAGGGAGGGAGAGGATTTGGGTCAAAAACAGAAGAAATGGGAATCAAGCAAAAGGCAGTTTGGGACAGGGACAGCATCTAAGAGAAGGTGAGCAAATAGGAACTTATTTTTTTTGTGAGACAGTGGGAAAACCAAGTGGGCTAAATCATAGATCCTGGAGACGTGAAGGAAGTACAGGTGAACAAGAAAGGCAGAGCCAGATCATGAACGCCTTGACACTAGACTAAACAAGCACTGATTCAAGGTCTTCAGCAGTCCTCTGTCAAAATACATATATTCAGGGGCCGGGTGCAGTGGCCCATGCCTGTAATCCCAGCACTCTGGGAGGCAGAGGCAGGTGGATCACTTGAGGTCAGGAGTTCGAGACCAGCCTGGCCAACATGGTGAAACCCAGTCTCTACCAAAAATATAAAAAACTAGCCGAGCGTGGTGGCATGCACCTGTAATCCCAGCTACCTGAGAGGCTGACGCAGGAGAATCACTTGAACCTAGGAGATGGAGGATGCAGTAACAGAGCGAGACTCCATCTCAAAAAAAAAACCATATATTCAGGAAAATAATCAAGGAGTAACTCGGAGGTGGCGGGGGTGGTTGGCAGGTGTAGGCTGGACACTGTGCTGTGCTGTATTTTGTGTCACCATACGAGAAAAGGAATATGGTACTCCAGTATCAGCCGGTGACTTTTAATTGTCAGTTCTTTATCTAAGGACCTAGAAATGCCCCATGGAATGAGACTCAGAGCAAGGAGGAGAGGAAGGATGGAGGAAAATTACAGCCAAAGCCTTGGGCAATATTAGGGCTGGCTGGTGCAGGTAAGAGTTCACCCACTGTGGGAAGCCTGGGCCTGAGAAAGGATTTTCAAAAGAAAAGAAAAGAGATTAGTAGAGAAGACAAATTTTCCCTGACTCACAGTTTTGCCTGCCACTAGCCATTTTAATGCCAGTAGTAGGCAAAACCACCCTTCCTTAGTGAAACCCTCATTAACTGTACTTTGTTGAATGGATGCTCTTTTGAATGAAAATCAAGATATGAGGGCCAGGCACGGTGGCTCACGCCTGTAATCCTAGCACTTTAGGAGGACAAGGAGGGAGGATCATGAGGTCAGGAGATCGAGACCAGCCTGGCCAACATAGTGAAATCCCCGTCTCTACTAAAAATACAAAATTTATGGTGGCACATGCCTGTAGTCCCAGCTACTCGGGAGACTGAGGCAGGAGAATCGCTTGAATCCAAGAGGCGGAGGTTACAGTGAACTGAGATCGCGTCAATGTACTGCAGCTTGGGTGACAAAGCGAGACTCCATCTCAACAACAACAACGAAAAAATCAAGATATGGGAAAGTCTCCTGAGATGGCATTTTAGGGAATAGGTCAGAAGAAGGACGAAGTATCCTGGTGTGAGTCACCTGAGGGCCCTGTGTAGCTTCCCTGAATGTGTTGGAAAACACAGGGAGGAAACCATCTGTCCTAGATTTCCCCTCGCTTTCAGATTTACACCCGCTCCCTACGGCCAAGGTGCCTCTGGTCAGTAGTAGAAAAAAAAAGAACTGTTCTCACCAAGGAAATCTCTGTAGAAAAGTTGCTGTGAAATGGGAGTAGGTGTGTCTTTTTGTCCTTCCGGTTCTTTTTATAGAGACTGCAGGAACCTCGATGAGAGCCTACCGTTCTTCCGCCCATTTAGGGAGAGATTAAAGAAGCTGAGGCTGGCTCTTTCTTACTCACTGGCAGTTACAACCTCACCATCACTACAGCCTCAGCTTCCACAGTGGACACGGAGAAGGTAAGTCAGAATCAGGGGGCCATGCCCTCAGCTGTAACCAAGGTCACTCCAGCCATCTGGTCTGGGGATAACTGAAGGGAAGTAGAACTAATGGGTATTCAATTGCAGTGGATTTTTTTTTTTTTTTCAAATGAATATGTGGGTTTTTTTTTTTAGACGGAGTCTAGCTCTGTCACCAGGCTGGAGTGCAGTGGCGCGATATCAGCTCACTGCAACCTCCGCCTCCTGGGCTCAAGTGGTTCTCTGGCCTCAGCCTCCTGAGTAGCTGGTACTACAGGCGCATGCCACCATGCCCAGATAATTTTTGTATTTTTGGTAGAGATGGGGTTTCACCATGTTGGCCAGGATGGTCTCGATGTCTTGACCTCATGATCCACCTGCCTCAGCTTCCCAAAGTGCTGGGATTACAGGCATGAGCCACCGCGCCAGGCAGTGGGATCTTTTTCCTCAGCTACCTCAATCAAGACGTGGACTTTGGTACTAAACTGTTCAAAAAGATATTTAAAGAAAGGGATCATTTTGTACAATTCTTTGATGAACAAATAATAGGTGTTTAATTACAACCTGTTGCATTGTATTGACTTGAACTGAAAGAAGGAACAGTCATTAAAATTACTGGGAAACTTTATTCCCAGTAATTCATCTGTCTGTCTCCTTCATGCAATGCATCAGTGTCTAGAATGATCCAATGATCCCTTAATGTTGGCAGTCCTTGTTCCGGAGCCTGATATAACCAAATTCCATCGATCATGCAAACATTGTCACACACCTCCTTTTATGAAAAAGATTTTGTATTAGCTTTCAAAAAGCCTTGGAAATTGGGATACACAAATGGACATATTATCAAGTGAAGTCTGTTCAGCTTTTCTGAGCAGGATGAAGCTAAGATAGTTTTGAGGGGTTTAGGTTGCCTTTCTCATTTCCTTTACTGGCATCCTATATAAAACTCTTATAAATTTGGGGTAATATAGCATGATGGCATTTCCCACCCCCTTAGACTATGTTTGCATATATCTCTGAATTTTTTCCCTGTAGGGAAGCTTAGCATTTAGATAAGTATCATGAGTCCAACAAAATGTAACTGAGGCTCTGGACAGTGTCCCAGGGACAACTTTGGTAAAGATATTTCTTTCATATACCCAGGGGTCCTCATTTCAGAATGAGACATTACAGTGCCCTGCATGGACCACCCAATAGGCATTCTTATAGGTATTAGGTTGGTGCAAATGTAGTTGCCGTTCTTGCCATTACCTTTTTTTTGTTTGTTTGTGTTTTGTGCTTTTTGTTTTAAGACAGGGTCTCACTCTGTCGCTAAGGCTGGAGTGCAGTGGCGCGATCTCAGCTCACTGCAACTTCTGCCTCCCAGGTTCAAGTGATTCTCTTGCCTCAGCTTCCTAAGTAGCTGTGACTACAGGCACGTGCCATCATGCCTGGCTAATTTTTTTAAGTATTTTTAGCAGAGATGGGGTTTCACCATGTTGGCCAGGCTGGTTTTGAACTCCTGACTTCAAGTGATCCACCCGCCTCGGCTTCCTACAGTGCTGGAATTACAAGCATGAGCCACAATATCCTTGCCTTATTTTTTTGTTTTTTGAGACAGAGTCTAACGCTGTCACTCAGGCTGGAGTGCAGTGGGGCGATCTCGGCTCAATGCAACGTTAGTCTCCTGGGTTCACGCGATTCTCCTGCCTCAGCCTCCCGAGTAGCTAAGATTACAAGCGTGCACCACCACACCCAGCTGAGTTTTATATTTTTAGCAGAGATGGGGTTTCACCATGTTGGCTAGGCTGGTCTTGAACTGCAGACCTCAAGTGATCTGCCTGCCTCGGCCTTCCAAAGTGCTGGGACAACAGGAGTGAATCACCGTGCCCGCCATTCTTGTCATTACTTTTAATAGCAAAAACTGCAATTACTTTTGCACCAACCTACGAGCTGCAGAGCTGTCAATTTGTCTCATGCTTTTTCTGCAGGGTATCAGGAAACCATTCTCGTGAGGTCCACACCTAGAAGTCACCATGCACAAGGACTGCATCGAGCCCACTGGAGACTATTTTCTTCTCTGTGAGACGGAGGGACCATGGCGCATCATCCTGGAGTCCCTGGCAATAGTTGGCATCGTGGTCACAATTCTGCTATTCTTGGCATTTCTCTTCCTCATGCGAAAGATCCAAGACTGCAGCCAGTGGAATGTGCTCCCCACCCAGCTCCTCTTCCTCCTGAGTGTGCTGGGGCTCTTTGGACTTGCTTTTGCCTTCATCATCCAGTTCAATCAACAAACTGCCCCCGTACGCTACTTTCTCTTTGGGGTTCTCTTTGCTCTCTGTTTTTCGTGTCTCTTAGCCCATGCCTCCAACCTGGTGAAGCTGGTTCGGGGTTGTGTCTCCTTCTCCTGGATGACAATTCTGTGCATTGCCATTGGTTGCAGTCTGTTGCAGATCATTATTGCCATTGAGTATGTGACTCTCATCATGACCAGGGGTATGATGTTTGTGCATATGACACCCTGCCAGCTCAATGTGGACTTTGTTGTACTCCTGGTCTATGTCCTCTTCCTGATGGCCCTCACATTCTTCGTCTCCAAAGCCACCTTCTGTGGCCCGTGTGAGAACTGGAAGCAGCATGGAAGGCTCATCTTTGTCACTGTGCTCTTCTCCATCATCATCTGGGTGGTGTGGATCTCCATGCTCCTGAGAGGCAACCCACAGTTCCAGCGACAGCCCCAGTGGGATGACCCAGTCATCTGCATTGGCCTGGTCACCAATGCATGGGTTTTCCTGCTGCTGTACATCGTCCCTGAGCTCTGCATTCTCTACAGATCGTGCAGGCAGGAGTGCCCTTTACAAGGAAATGCCTGTCCCGTCGCAGCCTACCAACACAGCTTCCAAGTGGAGAACCAGGAGCTCTCCAGAGGTACTTTCCTAGGGGATTCAGGGAGCAGGTCAGATTTGGGATGGGTGGCGTTATAGTTCAAGCATGGAGATGCACATTCTCAGAATCAAGGTTAAATTTTTATGGAAAATGAGTTCTTCCAAAACATAGAGCTCTATGGGGAGAGACTAAGACATAAATGAATCAAAGGCCCTAAATAAAGAGGGTGTGACTCTGAATATTCTTACTGGCTATGGAAAGACATCCACTATTAAATGAGTTAACCAGCCCTAAATTAGGCCTGGACCATGTGATTTTGCATGACATCTAATGCTAAGTCCAGATGTGCTGGCTGTCAAATGCAAAAGCCAATGCTGGCAGCAGTGATGGACATTTTAAAAATTTGTCTCAAAGCTGATTTGCCCAAACATAATCTAAAACTGATTCACAGGACTCATCACCTCATTAAAGCCACAAAGCCCAATCACTTCTGGATTTCAACTTTTCAAACCATTTACTGTTTAAAATCCTTCAAGGTTTACAAAAAGCGAGAGGAAGAGCCATTACATCCTAATTCTAAGTAAAGACTCAGATGTGTGATCATTAGGAGAAAGAAAGTAACTTGCTTATGTGACATTTTCATAATACTTCCTGGGTCATATTTTTATCCAAGCCACCTGACTACATGTTGTTAAGGAATAAAACAAATTATCCATGGCAACAAGGATGCTTGGACCTCAACAACCTGGGGGAAATAGTAGCTAATTTCGGTTATCTGGAAGTATGTCAAAACTCATTAATTCCTTTTCTGAAACATCTGGGCTATTATCCAAAACCCAATATCATAGTTTTACATGAATTTTTATGTCTTAATAGGCATCTGATTTCTCACATTTTATTTCTAATGTGTAACAATGATGTTATTTTATATATTGTATAGCACACATAATGCTCACCAGGCTCAAAAGCTTCACATAAGCTTCCTTTTAAGTACATACACTTTTTTTTTAGCTGTAATCTATGGCTAATTGCACATTCAAATTAAATCCTGTTCAGATAAATGCATCCATTAATTCTTTTCAGTTCAGTTGACCAAAAGTTGGAAATTGACACTACACATTTTTTCTTATAAAAGTTTTTCATTGCTTGTTGACGATGCATAATCACATCGCTGAGGCTTGTGGCAGAATTGCAGAGTCAATCTTTCCTGAAAATACTTCCCATAGTTCTTACCAGAAGATAAAACTTCTTGTGTTTGTTTTTGTTGCTGCTGTTGTGTTTCTAGGAAACAGAAGTCAGAGCAAAAAAAATTCTTAGAGTTTCATAATAAACCAGAATACACTGAGATTTGTAATGATCAATATTCCATACCCCACAAAATACCAGCAAGTGCTGAAAGGGTTCAAAGGAGTATGTTAGTTGTAAAGCAAGGGCTTGCAAAAATCTGATGATTGCTGGTTTGGCCAGGAGTATCCTATTACTCAAGCAAAGTTAGAAAATCCATTTCTGAGCAGGAAATAGTCTGCCAATGATAGTCATCATCAATGTAACTTGAAATTTTGTGGAAAAAAAAATCAATAGTGTTGTAAAGAGCATATGGATTGGCTGGGCTCTGTGGCTCACATCTGTAATCCCAGCACTTTGGGAGGCTGAGGCAGGTGGATCACTTCAGCTCAGGAGAAGGAGGGAAGAAAGGAAGGGAGGGAGGGAGTGAGGAAGGCAGGAAAGAAGGCGGGAAGGCAGGCAGGCAGGAAGGAAGGCAGGCAGGAAGGCAGGAAGGCAGGAAGGCAGGAAGGCAGGAAGGCAGGAAGGCAGGAAGGAAGGAAGGAAGGAAGGAAGGAAGGAAGGAAGGAAGGAAGGATTGCTCTCCAAGATCGGGCAAAATAACCAGAAGCTTAAGCTCAGAAAGTAAAATCAGGATTTTGATATTTATACCTGGAAGAAGTACAAATATCAAAATTTAGAGGAACAATTAAAACTCAATTAAAAGTGCAGGATTCACCTAGCTAGGAAAAACATACAAATAGATACAAAATGGGTAAGAGCTAGAGAAGCATAATAACAATAACCTGAAATATCCTAAGTGTTATGGTAGCCATGAGCTGACAGTAGGGAAACAACTTACTACTGACTTTGCTTTTGTTTGATCAAGAAACAATCATGGTACTGTATAAACAGATGTGTGCTCAGCAAGAACAACCGTGCCGTTGTACCCAGCATCGGTTAGTCTCCAGCAGGGACACCCACTGATCCACTAACGAGAAGTGTGGGGAGCTTGAGGAGGCTTGCCAGAACCCCACAAAGATGATTAAAGGATTTAATATCAGACCTGTGTGGAAAGGTGAAGACAGTGAGAATGAGATGGTCATTCTTAAGCTTTGTGTGCTTTATCAGACTATCCAAGCTGTCTCTTGAAATTCTGTCCCATGCTGTTTGAGTCCATGAGGCATGCATTTGTGATGTGACGCTTCTGACTAATGCTGTTTGTAGCTGTGATTCCAGTCATATAATTATTTGATTTACCACTGGGTTGTGAGAACAGAATTATTCAGCTGAAAGGAGAGTAAGAAAGGGGTGCCTAGCTGAAAATTTCACAAGCATGGCTGGGCACAGTGGTTCACACCTGCAATCCTAGCACTTTGGGAGGCCAAGACGGGTGAATCATCTGAGGTCAGGAGTTAGAGACAAGCCTGTCCAACATGGTAAAACCCTGTCTCTATTAAAAATACAAAAATTAGTTGGGCATGGTGGTGCATGCCTGTAATCCCAGCTACTCGGTGGGGGGCTGAGGCAGGAGAATCACTTGAACCTGGGAGGTAGAGGTTGCAGTGAGCAGAAATTGTGCCTCTGCACTCCAGCCTGGGCAACAGAACGAGACGCCATCTCAAAAAAAAAAAAAAAAAAAAAAAGAAAGAAAGAAAGAAAATTTCACAAGTACGAAGACCTCTCCCCAAGAGGCAGTGCTCCTGTTTTCCATCTCCAGCTAAAGACAGTGGGTGGAAATGGACTCAGAGGCATGAGAGATTTAGATTAAATATGAACGTAAGAGTTGGTGGACAGAAAGAGATCAGCAAAGGGGATTAAGAATTTCATTTCCCTGGAATTCTTTCTAAAGAAGATTAGGCTTTATTCTTCTGAAGTGGCTTAGGGACTTAATTTTAAGATATAAAAACATCTGGATGGAGAATGAAAATGCAATCAAGTGTGTTACTGTAGGACTCCAAACAAATGGGTATAAATATTATTTGCCCTGTGTTATAAGTGTGTCCCTGAGAAGCTGTATATTGATTGGACTTTGAAAAATCAGTTGGTTTCAACCAAAATCTTGTGCCAAAAATATAGATACATGCTCTTACAGCATTTGATTGAAATTTAGCATGCTCAGGCCGGGCATGGTGGCTCATGCTTGTAATCCCAGCACTTTGAGAGGCCAAGGCGGCCAGATTGCGAGGTCAAGAGATCGAGACCATCCTGGCCAACATGGTAAAACCCCGTCTCTAAAAAAAGAAATTAAAAAAAAATTAAAAAAAGAAATGTAACATCCTCAACATATTGTTAGGCACAGGAAACTTCAACAAAAAGATTAGGGCAAAGAATTTGTGTACATGTAAATGAAGCAATTAAAATGTAAAATAAAAATAGAGACAGAATTCTGAACTTATTTTGATGTTTAACTACTTCATTTACATGCACCTGGTATTATGGTTTTGTTTTGTTTTGTTTTTTAACATAGTCTTCATTAATTAGATTAGTTAATGGATATAAAACTTGTTTTATATTTAATTTGGAGTTGGTAAGTTTTGGAATATTTCTCTTCCTGAATAAATGGTAACTAATCTCCAAAATAAATACATAGAATAAAATCAGTAGGTCTTTTGAGAATCTTAAATGTGATATAATTTGCAGAAATCTTAAATATGGTAGAATATCGGCTATGAATGGCTTTATGAGGGGGAAAACTCTTCTAATTATTGCCTGCCTTATCTGTTTTAGACTAATTAGAATATCGTTATATCAAATTTGCTAACAGCAAGGCCCATCTGTATTTGAAAGTGTCTGCCAGGCGTGGTCCCAGTACTTTGGGAGAGTGAGGCGGGTGGATCACCTGAAGTTAGGAGTTCAAGTCAGACCTGGCCAACACAGTGAAACCCCGTCTCTACTAAAAATACAAAAAATTGGCCAGGCATAGTGGCAGGCACCTGTAGTCCCAGCTACTTGGGAGGCTGACGCAGGAGAATTGCTTGAATATGGGTGGTGGAGGTTGCAGTGAGCTGAGATCACACATTGCACTCCAGCCTGGGATACGAGAATGAAACTCCATCTCAAAAAGAAAAAAAGAAAAGAAAGTGTCACATTACCATGGGCGTTTTTCCATCCAGTGTTTGGATGCTTACAGACAAAGCTCCTAAGATTCTTTTTGAAAATATTAGATAATCAATGAGTCTACATAATATAAAAATGAGTCAACGAGTATAAAACAAGATGAACCAAGAAAACACTATTTCTGCAAACATCAGCCCTTCTGGTTGTTTCCCTAGCAAACTCCAACTTTTGCCAAATATAGCCCTTTTTGATGATTCTCAACATTTTCTCTTCAAGGCACATTCGCCTTACCAGGGAAAATCCAACTTAAAAGGTCCCAGGTGGTGTCATTTTTGTTTGTTCTTTCGTGCACGGAAAGTTCTTTTTTGTCATTCTCAAGTTACAGGTCACAGAGAGAGAGCTAGCTTAAAGCAGGGAAGAAAACAGTGGGGTCATAGGCAGGATTTGTTTGGTCTGAGGACAGGTAAGTCAAGGATGATGACATTGATAAAGATTCAGAGAGCTTAGCTGGATGTGGTGGTGCATGCCTGTGCTCCCAGCTACTCAGAAGGCTGAGAGGGGAGGATCACTTGAGCCCAGGAGTTCAAGGTTGCAGTGAGCTATGATCATGCCACTGCACACTCCAAAAAAAATTAAATTTAAATTGAAAAAAAAAAACAAATTCAGGGAGCCGGAGCATAATTGGACAGCAAGGGGCAGTGGAAAGAGTGCAGAATCAGGCCTCACGTGCCCAGGCTTCGAGATTCTGCTTCTTAACAACTTTAAGACCAAACCAAGGTCCTCAAGCCCTAGGAGCCTCAGATTCCTCATCTTTAAATGCTGCTCATCACGTCCCTCCCTGCCTCCTCCACAGATAAATAGAAGGTCTTACTCAACTCAGACTTCCTATCACACAGGTGCAGATTTAGTGTAAAAAAGCTGCTCAGCCATTTTGTAAACTCATGAACTACAGCTAGAGCTGGAAGACTTAGGGTTTTCTAACTGATGATCTGGTTTGATGAGAATGTTGGATAAAAGCTGGTTCCCAAGAGACTGAGTGTGAAGGAGCCTTGTTATGACACAAGGAGCAAAGTTGAGCCAAGGATTCGGTTTATTCTACCATGAAGGAAAGATTTTCTTTTTTTTTTTGAGACGGAGTTTTGCTCTTGTTACCCAGGCTGGAGTGCAATGGCAGGATCTTGGCTCACCACAACCTCTGCCTCCTGAGTTCAAGCAATTCTCCTACCTCAGCCTCCTGAGTAGCTGGGATTACAGGCACGCGCCACCATGCCCAGCTAATTTTTGTGTTTTTAGCAGAGATGGGGTTTCACCTTGTTGACCAGGATGGTCTCGATCTCTTGACCTCATGATCCACCCGCCTCGGCTGCCCAAAGTGCTGGGATTATAGGCGTGAGTCACCGCACCTGGCCCGAAGGAAAGAATTTCATGTATCACAGCATCCAACTGCTTTAAAAAAAAAAAAAGTCACTAAGAAGAGGATGTCAGAGCATCTATTCTAACTGCAGCATCACCACCAATAACCATATACAAAGGATAGCTCATGAGTATTTTCTATATAGCATGCCCCATTCCAAGGACTTTATATAATATTTTTATATAATCTTCAAAACAGTCCTATGAGATGGACTTACTGTTATGACTGTCATTATTCCTCTTTCATTTCCATCGGGAAACAAAGGTAACAAAATGTTAAGGAACTTGGCCCTGGGTAGGTAACACAAGTGAGAGAGCCAAGCGGTCCTTCTCCAGGGTCCATCCACTCAACATGAAACCCCTAAGTGTGAATGCTACTGACATGGTTATGTCTATGATCATCAAAAAACAACTAGGTACCCAGCAAGTTCCTGGTCTTCGAGACAGGCACAGCTCCTGTCTTTACAGAGCTTATAGTCTGGTTGAGGAGACAGTCATTAAACAAATACCTATGTCTGTGATTATCCTACGACAATACAGAATTGTCTCAAGTGATCTCTTTTATTTTGACCGATTTTAAAAATTGAATTCAAGCATATGTGGTGGCTCAGACCTGTAATCCCAGCACTTTGAGAGGCCAAGGTGGGAGGTTTGAGGCCAGGAGTTTAAGATCAGCCTGGGAAAATTTTTAATTTTTTTTTTTTTTTTTTTTTTT